GCTCTGTGAGGAAGTGGCAGATTTTTTCCAGCTGTGTTTTTTCAAATTCTAGCGCACTCGAGCCGGTTTCTCCAAACTTACCTACCCCACCTTTTAATGTCTTTGCATTTAGGCAACACACTAGAATCATAGGCCAAGGAATCCAAACAAGAATTTGTTTAGGTTTAGGGAACTAAACTAATATCTTAATATTTAGGGAACTCAACTACGATCTTTACGTTTAGGGAACTAATATTGAATCTTAACGTTCAGGGAACTAAACTAGAATCCTAATATTAAGGGAACTAATATTGAATCTTTAAATGTAGGGAACTAATCTTGAATCTTTGTGTCTAGGTTACAAAACTAGGATAGGTGTTTAGGGAACAAAACTAGAATCTTTACTTTAAGGGAACTAAATTATAATGTTTAGGGAACTAATGTAGAATCTTTGTGACTGGGCAACTAAAGTATAATTTCTTCAGGATAATGCAACAATACTAGAAATTCCTTTATGTTTAGCGAAAAACATATTTCATGAAAATGTAAGGTAGTGGTTTGAGTCTCATGCATCAGCCCCAAACGCCACTCTTTATGTAGTTTATCGCTTTTAGACTACATCACCTGATAACTCTTATTTAATCGCTAGTAACACTTGTATCTTATGATGGAAACAAGGATAAGTTATGAACAGAGTATGAACATGTCCAGTATCCGTCAAACAGTTTCCCCTGTCATTTCACTGGAGCCTTTAAGAGAATAGTTATTGCTGATTGCTTTCAGGGAGCTCATTATTGCAGGAGGGGTCCAGCTGCTCAGTCTGTGGATCGGCTCATTATGGGCAGTCGGATAGCACTCATCCTGAGAGGAAGACAGCCAGATCTGAGTCCCATCTGCTGCCTCATGCTAGGATGGCACCCTGAGACTCACTCTGACTCTGGCTGGCTGTTGAGGAAGTTCAGCTCATTGTTAAGATGCTTTCAACACTAAATCATGGAGTATTGTTAACGGATATGTGTGGACTCGGGTCAATGGGACTCCAGTAGGCTCGACTCGCTGATTTGATGACCTGCAATGACTCCAATGGCTTGTCTCTGTCCATGCAATGCTTTTGGTTCATATGTAAAATATCAGAATATTGGTTTTACATTGGCAAAGATAACATAACAAGTGTCTGTGTATCATTAGCGGGAAATGGCATTGTAACGATTGGATATCTAGCAGTCAATCTCCTCTTTGCCATGTTTAGATGATTGATTGCTTAACTATCTGCTTAAGTTATCTGTTTGATTACTGTGTAGTCTTGCTGTCAGTATTTTAGTGTTTAAAAAGTGATCGAGATGAGACTAGATTGTCTTCAATTATAGATATATCACAATCTCTCATACTGTAAGTGTCTTCTCCTGGTTTTAATGTATTTTTCTGAATTAACCAGACTGCTCTTGTTGTTATTTTCTATTTTCCTCTAGCCACTTAGTCATTATAACCACAATACTAATGACTGTTTATCAGTTTCATTGTGTGAATTTTGTAAAAGCACCAACAGTCAATCCTTTAATATCCTCGGAATAAATACATATTTCATGATATTGAATTTTATCCTAGCATTACCTTTATTTCTCTTCATAGAGACTGGATATCGCCGGTACGACTAGAGTTCTAAGGTGGGAATAGACTTGAATTAACTCGACTTGTTCAAGAAAAAATGACTTGAGTCACATGGTTAATCGTCTCTCAGTACATATAGATGTAAGAGATTCCTTAATGGGTTTGAAGCTCTAAAAGCCACCATGAGAAATGAACCCTCGGCAAAATATGGTTTCATGAAAACCTTTGGGGGATCTCACCTGCAAGGTTTAACAGGTTTTTTCTACCCACCTTACGAACTGGTTTTAGATCCAGAACAATTTTACATGTTATCTAAACCAGACACCTGTTAATGTGATGTTCTTCCAGGCTGAAGATCAGCAGGTTGCAGGATAAATGTTACCTCAGCTAACACGCTGCTCATGCAATCGTCACCCGTTAGACGCCACCTGCTCCTACATGATGTCCCGCTGATATAACATGAATACCAGGCAGTGTTCTGATGCAGCACATTCTGTGAGGCCTGCTGTGTGACTGAACAACTCACCCCTCAAATGACCCTCCAAGCACAATGATTACATCAGTGACATTTCTGGGCAAATATTAGCAAGCACCAGCGTCATCTCTGGAGACTCGTGATGTCCGTTTGTTTATCAGTCTGCTTGGCTTTGTTTTTGAAGCAGATGCTACTGATGTGATCTTCTGGGCAGCAATTCGATGGAATGAGTCCCTAAATTGTGAATTGAGTCAGTATTTTACCACTTCCGTTTTCTGAATATGTTTTTGGTTGTTAGCCTGAAATAAGGTCTGTGGTTAACACAAGTTGAAGAGATTTAAACGTTTTGTTCTACGACATAAAATACGTCAGTAAACACCCTACTGTTGAATTTAAAAACAGTGGTTGGTAACAAGTATCTAAATAAGACGACTAAACGTCATCACACCCAACATTAGCCGCCTTTAGCTTAGCGGTGGTCACGTGAAGTCATGTGACCGTGCTGTAGTTCCTTTATAGCCCAACATTAGTCGCCTTTAGCTTAGCGGTGGTGACGTGAAGTCATGTGACCGTGCTGTAGTTCCTTTATAGCCCAACATTAGTCGCCTTTAGCTTAGCGGTGGTGACGTGAAGTCATGTGACCGTGCTGTAGTTCCTTTATAGCCCAACATTAGCCACCTTTAGCTTAGCGGTGGTGACGTGAAGTCATGTGACCGTGCTGTAGTTCCTTTATAGCCCAACATTAGCCGCCTTTAGCTTAGCGGTGGTGATGTGAAGTCATGTGACCGTGCTGTAGTTCCTTTATAGCCCAACATTAGCCGCCTTTAGCTTAGCGGTGGTGACGTGAAGTCATGTGACCGTGCTGTAGTTCCTTTATAGCCCAACATTAGCCGCCTTTAGCTTAGCGGTGGTGACGTGAAGTCATGTGACCGTGCTGTAGTTCCTTTATAGCGCAACATTAGCCGCCTTTAGCTTAGCGGTGGTGACGTGAAGTCATGTGACCGTGCTGTAGTTCCTTTATAGTCCAACATTAGCCGCCTTTAGCTTAGCGGTGGTGACGTGAAGTCATGTGACCCTGCTGTAGTTCCTTTATAGCCCAACATTAGCCGCCTTTAGCTTAGCGGTGGTGACGTGAAGTCATGTGACCGTGCTGTAGTTCCTTTATAGCCCAACATTAGCCACCTTTAGCTTAGCGGTGGTGACGTGAAGTCATGTGACCGTGCTGTAGTTCCTTTATAGCCCAACATTAGTCGCCTTTAGCTTAGCGGTGGTGACGTGAAGTCATGTGACCGTGCTGTAGTTCCTTGATAGCCCAACATTAGCCGCCTTTAGCTTAGCGGTGGTGACCTGAAGTCATGTGACCGTGCTGTAGTTCCTTTATAGCCTAATGTTAGCTTTTTACTTCCAAAATCATTATCCTGGAGATTATCCTGCTGAACAAAACATATAATTAACTTATATTTGCCACAGTATTGCAATATTCGAAATTCAACTGTAGCCCTTTTGTTTGCAAAGATACGTAATCTCTGCACCACTCTTTACAGCACAGTGAAACACAGATAATATATATGATAATACTCAATAATGCAGCAGTAAATCCACACTGGAGTCTTCATGAGTGGAGCGTGTTACTGTAGGGAGGAGTGGGAGGTGAGCTCTGCTTTTAATAGACATTCTCCCTCTGCCGCTCATTCTGCTGCCTGCCTCACCGTCACAAAAGCTGCCAAATATATCCAGCGGTGGTAAAAGAAGAGCTGTTGTGTGAACACAAGCGAGCTATTTATAGCCTCGCCGTTAAGCGAGAATATGAGTGCAGATTTGGTCAGCAGCACAGTATGTTTCTCCTGTGAACAACATATTCTATCTGCTAGTCATCTGTGAATAAGTGTTATACGTCTCCCCTGGCTGATTGCTAATTACTGTGGTGTTAGTCAGTGTTGCAATTTGCTTTTAATTAATAAGGGCGCATTTGCTTGATTAGCTATCAGTAATGCATGTTTCAAATGTCTAGATCTACTGGATACTGTCTATCATGGAGTTTATTAGAAATACTCTCTTTATGCTTTTCTTGGATGTTTTCCATTTTCCCATCTTTATTGGCATAACATATACTTATTTATTTGTATATCTTTAAGGCAATCCTTCCTATCTACGGCTTCATTCTCATCGTACATTCAACGGGGTTACAACTAATTATGGACTTCAATATAGGAGAATATGGATTAAGTGATGAGTAATGATTAATTATGACACAAACGCATGTCAGTATTAATTTTGGATGGTCTACTATAGCCGATGTTGATGTTGTTATTGTAATGATGTTATTTACAGTGCATCCCCATGTCTGAAAGTGTCTTCTTTTTCATTTTGCTAAATAAATCAGATCAAATAAATTGATATGAGAAGTGTGTAGTGAATGGGATATCTACCTACTATTCCAAATTGAGTTAAATTAAGACTAAGTCTGTCCAAAACTGGGTAAAAGGACGTTTAAGTATTCTGCTTTAAATTAGTTTCAAAACAACCTGAATCTCCAGTAGCAGGTGTCTTGAAAAGCATTTAAAATTAGTTTAAATTAGTTATAAGAAGGCACATATGGCTGTAGATGTTTCCAACGTTTCAAATATATTTTGCTTTCTCATCACCCTGTAATTTGTCTTCATTTTTAGGAGGCCCTATTACGCTTTTTGGGGTTTTCCCTTTACTGTAGTGTGAACCTAAAAAATGATATGTCTTCTTTAAAGAGATCAATTGTAATCTTTTATGAACTTTTATGGTAAGGGTTAGAACCCATATGGAGGATTGATTATTCAAATTGAAGTGAAATCTATACAGTATGATTATAACGGGTAAGTGTGTCAGCCCTTCAGGTTTCAGGTTTCAGGAGAGGTTCATAAAGTCAGTTTTCCATCATGTTTCTCTCTCTTCTCTCCCACAGATCAGCGACTGCTTCCATCAACTCTCTGCAAACACTGTCTCCACCGGATAAGTCTCATCGAAAAACACAAAACAGAACATTTCCGGACACATGTCACAGGTATTACTCTTCACATGGTAAGAGTTTGTTTCCACAAATCAGCCATCTGTTCGTCAGTTTGCGTGTGTGTGTGTGTGTGTGTGTGTGTGTGTGTGTGTGTGTGTGTGTGTGTGTGTGTGTGTGTGTGTGTGTGTGTGTGTGTGTGTGTGTGTGTGTGCGTGCGTGCGTGCGTGCGTGCGTGCGTGCGTGCGTGCGTGCGTGCGTGCGTGCGTGCGTGTGTGTGTGTTTTGATGTATCTTGAAAGTCTGTATTATTCTCTGACTGTATGTGATATTGGGGCAATCCTTGTTTCAGTTGTACAATTCAATTCAATCTTTATTTCAGACTCAAGGTCCATATCACACACAGAAGGACAAGATACACATCAATAAATTAAAAACTAAAAAACAAACAGATAAAAAACATAAAATCAGTCCAATTACAGCTAGTCACACATGCTCACTGTCTGTGGAGGCTATTGCTCCAATGTCTCCAAATCATGGAAGAGAACCGAGTAGAACTCTTCACAGGGTTAATTAAAATCGAGATAACATGATTGTCAGAGTCTTCTAGGTGACACATGAATTTGTACATTACATTTCTTAAAAGGGCTTGGCAGGTAGGTACCCCCAAGTTAACAAACAGCTGGCTGGCACTGTGCCATCTTGGTACAATGCCAGCAATCTAAACTACAAATAACTAAAGTACAACAACTGCTAGGAAATATATATATTAATAAAAGGTAACATTATTTTCATGCAGGGGACACAACTGAAAAGAGAGGAAATCGAAATGATTAAACGCTTACAACAACCTCTTTCCTCCCATAACTCTCTCATCAGATCTCATTATTCTTTTCCCTCTTTTAAAAAACGTCTTATTATTGATAATCGATTTTTACTAAACCTTTTGTGCAGAAATACTCCTGGTTTTTACCTCTATTGTGTAACAGAATGAAGATTTTTAGCCATGGGACGTCTGGATCTGAAGTTTTCAGAGACACAAGCTGAGCTAATGTTAGCGACAGCCAAACTGCATCATTTTTTTCCCGATTTTTTATGTAAAGCTGCTTTCGTCACCGTTTGTTTTGAGGATGTGAAGTCCTCTCTGGATAATTCATCATCTAGGACAGGGGTGTCAAACTCAAATACACAGTGGGCCAAAATTTAAAAAACGGTACTAGTCGAGGGCCGGACTGGTTCAATGTTTATTGCAAAACTTATTGAAATTAACTTATTGCACATATTAAACCTGAAACTAGAAAAGCTTAAAGTGGACCTATCATGCTATATTTGAATAATATAGTGTAGGACCATACCTATATAAGGCATATTTATACTTTTTCTTTTTCAAAATACCAAACAGATCATGCATTTTAGCCATGCCTCATTTTGCTCAATTTGACAATTTCTAGCTCTGTTTTAGCAAGGGCTGATTCTGTGAGAACAGCACCATCTACAGGCCTGGCATATGTACTACAGCGTCTCCAGCGCTTTCGAACGGCAATGGCCGTGGCTGTCTCCTCCTGATTGGTGGAGTTGGCCCAATAGCCGTAGCGCCACCGTCCTGACGTCAGGACAGTGTTCAAATCTGGATCAGTTTTTATCAGATCCGTTGCAGCCCCTTTTTTAGAGATTTGGGTATGGAGGAAAATAGAGAGGGTTGTGTTTTCTGACACTTGGTGAGTTCCCTGGAACACCGGGGACACATATTCATGTATAAAAGACGTACAAAAGTGCATTTTGCATGATAGGTCCCCTTTAAATTATTGCCTATAAAAACAACATGAAACATTAAATAATCAGTTGCATTCATTTCTTATGGCTCTATCTGCAGATTTTCCCAGAGTCATTTCTTATGATTACATTTTTCCACAGGCCAACAACAGCTTCAAAAAAACTATTTCCCTCAAAGAACAAACCAAACATGCCCTGTTGTCGTGAGAAAGTGCAGAAGGAAACATCCATTAAACTCAGTGTGCTGCTCTGTGATGCTAGCTCAAGCCAGATACTTGGCATCTCATCTTGGGTGCAAGGTCATCAATGTTTGGGGTCAGGCTCTGAGCTGAGGAGACCCTCAGGATTGAGTGAAGGTGTGCGTGCAATATACCGGCGGGCCAGATCGAATAGTAATTACAAATTATCCTGCGGGCCGAAATTAAATCCACCAAGGGCCTGATTTGGCCCCCGGGCCTTGAGTTTGACACATGTGATCTACTGTAGGATAACCTCCTTTATGTCCAGATCTTAACTTACCAGAAAAACAACCTGACTAAATAATAGTGGCTACTCTGAGACGCCCGTTCAATGCTCCAGAGTAACACTGATTTTTTTTACTTAAAACTGCTTTATTATTGCATTTTTCCAGTTTAAATCACCTGTTTTTGTCTTTTTTGGAAAATTATCTTTCTCTGAGCATAGTTTGACTCCTAGAAAAACCTCCTAAATGCGTGAATCTTATACTGTCAGATAAACAAGCTGTTAATCAGTGGCAACTAGGCGCTCATTTCCCTCAGGGACGTCCGTGTTTAGCCGAGCACCATTAAAGAAACTCTTGAAAACACTTTATTCAGTGTTAATCTCCATTTAAATCAGCGTAACTGTTATCTGTTTGTTTCGAGGAGGAAGAGGCTTCTGTGGATCATTCAGCTCCAATTATAAATCTCCTGAACGTTTAATTAAATAGGAATCAGAACAGTGAGAAGCTGACAGCAAAGACAAACTCCCATGATCGTAGCAGAACATGACTTATATTAGTGTGTGTTAGGAATGGGAAATCTTAGCGATGCTTAAAATAAGGTTGGATTCCCCATGCTGTGGCGCCGTGTTTCTGTGTGTGTGTGTCTGCATACTGACTGCAGTGACTGTGTGTGTGTGTGTGTGTGTGTGTGTGTGTGTGTGTGGTGTGTGGTGTGTGTGTGTGGTGGGTGTGTGTGTGTGTGTGTGTGTGTGTGTGGTGTGTGTGTGTATCTCTGTGTATCTGCTTTCCAATGCTCCTCAGGCCCTAATGCTTTAAAGGCTCAGCTATTGTATCATCATCGCTACAATGACATGTGCAGTCCTGTACACACCACACACACACCACACACACACACCAACCCACACACACACACACCCACACACACACACACACACGACACACACACCTCAACACACACACTCACACACACACATCACACACACACTCACAACAGCACGACCCCAAACACACACACACACACACAACCACACACACACACACACCCACACCTCCACACACACACTGCAAACACACACACACACCCAGACACTCACACACCACACACACACGCACACACACTCACACCACACACACTCACACCACACCACACACACACCACACACACACCACACACACACTCTCACACACACACTCACACACACACACACACCACACACACTCACACCACACACACACACACACACACCACACACACACTCTCACACCACACACTCACACACACACACACACACACACCCACACAAACACAACACACACACACACATACACAACACACACACACACACTCACACACACACACACACACACACACACACAACAGACAGACACACACACACACACACACACACACACACATACACACACACACACACTCACATACTCACATACTCACACATCACAAGTGGGGCTGTACAAATATTGACATTTTAATCACAATTGAAATCGCAATAGTAAAATATTCAAATAACTGCTAAAAATATCATCTGAATGATTTAGTGTGGAGCTGGAGATTTAATAAAATATTTGTTTGCTACAGATCCTCTTAAAACATCACACTATGATCAATCTAATATATATATTTTAATGATAATGATAATTAAGATGCACAAATGATCAATTTAACCCAATTTCAGGGTTGAAATGTTCCTGAAAATTAATCACAATTTGTCCTTTTATTCCAATCCTGCAGCCATAGTCACAAATGCATTGTTACTCATATTGTTATTCAAGTCTTAGAGTGTAAGAAAGCCTCTTAAACACAGCTACACTGTCAAAGGACGCTGTAAACAAAACAAAAACCTTATCTACTTACATTTCTAGGGACCAAAGAACTAGTAAATGCTACTAAACTGTCAGAGAAAATGTAACTTTTATTTGTACTTAAAGGGGACCTTTCATGCAAAATGCACTTTTGTACGTCTTTTCTACATGAATATGTGTCCCCGGTGTTCCAGGGAACTCACCAAGTGTCAGAAAACACAACCCTCTCTATTTTCCTCCATACCCAAATCTCTAAAAAAGGGGCTGCAACGGATCTGATAAAAACTGATCCAGATTTGAACACTGTCCTGACGTCAGGACGGTGGCACTACGGCTATTGGGCCAACTCCACCAATCAGGAGGAGACAGCCACGGCCATTGCCGTTCGAAAGCGCTGGAGACGCTGTAGTACATATGCCAGGCCTGTAGATGGTGCTGTTCTCACAGAATCTGCCCTTGCTAAAACAGAGCTAGAAATGGTCAAATTGAGCAAAATGAGGCATGGCTAAAATGCATGATCTGTTTGGTATTTTGAAAAAAAAAAAGTATAAATATGCCTTATATAGGTATGGTCCTACACTATATTATTCAAATATAGCAGGATAAAGAGGTTTTTCAGGACAACCGTCATTTCAAATTATATTGAGTTAATTCAAACAAAACAAAGAAAAGCAGCACTTAACAAGGACATAAAAACAAAGCAGAGGCCATACCATAAACAATTGTAAAAGTTATTAAAACCCTTTCAATTACTGAAAAACATGTGAAATAAAAGTAGGTAAATAAAAAGCCTTAAAGGTGGGGTAGGTAATTCACTTCAGAAACACTTTTTGTTATATTCCATGGAATGCTCTTAACATCCCGATAGCAATGAATATATTAAATGCTTTGACAATAAATATATACAAAAATGTCATCTGTGGAAGCCGTAGCGCTGTAAAAAGCATGACCAATCATCTGAGCCGGCCCGGCTAAAATAACTGGATGGCCTACCTGCCTGTCAGCCTTCCATCTGTGCACAAACTTATCTCGTGCCCTCATTGGTCATGTGCGCTTTCGTGTGTGTTGGAGGAGGGGCTCTGTAAGGAAGTCTGAAGGAAGGGGCAGATTTTTCGGTTGTGTACGTTCAAATTCTAGCGCACTCGAGCTGGTTTCTCCACTCTTACCTACCCTACCTTTAACATTTAGCTAAAGAGAGATCATTTGACATTGAAAATACAGTCATGTAAAACAATAACAAGCTGAAGTTTTTAGTGATTCAATATCACATTTCCTAATTGTTTTTAGATTTTAAAGTGAGTGGCGTGTGTGTCGGTGTGCTCAGGTCGAGCAGCAGGTCTCTCTGGTGCAGAGGAAGATGTCTGACCTGGAGTCTGTGCTGCAGCAGAAAGACATCGAGCTGAAGGAGTCAGAGACCCAGAGGAGCATCCTGGAGCAGGACCTGGCCACCTACATCTCAGAATGCACTGTGAGCACACACACACATACACACACACACACACACACACACACACACACACACACACACACACACACACACACACACACACACACACAAACACACACACACACACACACACACACACACACACACACACGGAGAACCTTACATCTGTTCAGAATAACCTCAGAAGAGTGTGTTCATACATGGACAGAGGATTTATAGACATCACAATACTTTGCATGATGATATTTTATTAATGCATGGACTTAAAGTATTGATCTTGTATTGTATATATTGACTGTTGTGCCTGTATTTATGCCTCTTAATGTTGGCATATGTATATATGTGTCTATGTATGTTGATTAGGTGTGTATGTATGTATACATGTATGTATATCTTTTTAAATATATTGTGGGAAACAGTATTTCGATCTCTCTGTCTGTACACACAAACTGAAAGATTGACAATAAAGTTGACTTTAAAAATAAACATATCCATTATAACTATTGCAAATTCAACTTTTCAGTCCACTAGATGATGCTGTGTTTTTTTTCTGATGAGGTCAAAAGAGTTTGGCAAGATTTATCTGAGAAAAGAAGTCAAAATATGCAGAACATTTTATTATTAGATAAAACAGTTGTTGAAAAACATAATTTGCGGTTGAAAAATGTCATAAATGTGTTATCACAAAACTTATGACGTAGTTATTTTGAATACTCAATCCTTATTGGTCCATTTGGAGTCAGCTAGTTTGTTTATTTAGTATGTGGCCGTGTAATAACATCACATTATCCCTTACTTAGCATACCATCTAGTTAAGTTAGATTAAAATTGTTTAAAACGTACGCTGTAACCATTGCAGAGATTTTAAACTGTATTTAGATGATCTAATTGTACCCAACAGAATATCCTCCGACTCAACATGTGTCTGTTTTGTTTCAGAGTCTGAAGAACAGTTTGGAGCAGGCTCGAATGGAGGTGACACAGGAAGACGATAAAGCTCTGCAGCTGCTGCACGACATCCGGGAGCAGAGCAACAAGCTGCAGGAGATCAAGGAGCAGGTAGGAAACAACGAAGTGCTGTCACTATGCTGAAATATATATAACATTTCCTAATTAAAGGGCCCATGTCATGCTTTTCCGGTTATTACCCGTCCCCTTGTGTGTTATGAAGGTTTTTATGCATGTAAACGGTCTGCAGAGTCACAAACCCTCAAAGTACACCCTGTAGCGAGTAAAACTCTAACACAGAAAATACCTCCCCAAAACGCCTCGTTGGAGATACGTCATTGTCCATTTGATTCTTCCATTTCGTTCCGGGTACGGCATGATGTCAAGCCGTACCCGGAACGAAATGGACCAATCCGTGGAGCCGTTACGTTACGTCCACGGAGCCGTTACGTTAAGCCCCCGCTGATTGGTCCAAATTGACCAATCCACGGACTTCCTCACACACACATCTGTGTGCAGGGAGCAGGCAGCTCAGCTGATTTCTCCTCCCTGGCTGCAGGCTGATAACAGACAGTTGGGATCGCGGCAAAATTCTCTCTGCAGACCCATTCTCTCTGCAGACCCATTCTCTCTGCAGACCCATTCTCACAGCGTTTATCAACCTTTTTCTTACTCAATATCAAGCCACACTTATTGTTTTTACTTCGGCTGTGACTTTGTGTGTGCTCAGGATGAGTTTGGCTGTGTTTGGCTGTGTATCGCTAACAAGGAAACAACACCTCCACGGAGCTCAGCGCGATTCACAACGTCCCGACCAATCAGAGCACACTGTGCTCACAGGGAGGGTGGGGGCTGGAGCTATTGGAGCTACAACGAGCCGTTAAAGGCAGAGAGTGAAATTCAGTGAAGTAATGTGACCGTGCTGTAGTTCCTTTATAGCCCAACATTAGCCACCTTTAGCTTAGCGGTGGTGACGTGAAGTCATGTGACCGTGCTGTAGTTCCTTTATAGCCCAACATTAGCCACCTTTAGCGTAGCGGTGGTGATGTGAAGTCATGTGACCGTGCTGTAGTTCCTTTATAGCCCAACATTAGCCACCTTTAGCTTAGCGGTGGTGACGTGAAGTCATGTGACCGTGCTGTAGTTCCTTTATAGCCCAACATTAGCCACCTTTAGCTTAGCGGTGGTGACGAGAAGTCATGTGATCGTGCTGTAGTTCCTTTATAGCCCAACATTAGCCTCCTTTAGTTTAGCGGTGGTGACGTGAAGTCATGTGACCGTGCTGTAGTTCCTTTATAGCCCAACATTAGCCTCCTTTAGCTTAGCGGTGGTGACGTGAAGTCATGTGACCGTGCTGTAGTTCCTTTATAGCCCAACATTAGCCTCCTTTAGCTTAGCGGTGGTGACGAGGAGTCATGTGATCGTGCTGTAGTTCCTTTATAGCCCAACATTAGCCTCCTTTAGCTTAGCGGTGGTGACGTGAAGTCATGTGACCGTGCTGTAGTTCCTTTATAGCCCAACATTAGCCTCCTTTAGCTTAGCGGTGGTGACGTGAAGTCATGTGACCGTGCTGTAGTTCCTTTATAGCCCAACATTAGCCTCCTTTAGCTTAGCGGTGGTGACGTGAAGTCATGTGACCGTGCTGTAGTTCCTTTATAGCCCAACATTAGCCTCCTTTAGCTTAGCGGTGGTGACGAGGAGTCATGTGATCGTGCTGTAGTTCCTTTATAGCCCAACATTAGCCACCTTTAGCTTAGCGGAGGTGACGTGAAGTCATGTGACCGTGCTGTAGTTCCTTTATAGCCCAACATTAGCCTCCTTTAGCTTAGCGGTGGTGACGTGAAGTCATGTGACCGTGCTGTAGTTCCTTTATAGCCCAACATTAGCCTCCTTTAGCTTAGCGGTGGTGACGTGAAGTCATGTGACCGTGCTGTAGTTCCTTTATAGCCCAACATTAGCCTCCTTTAGCTTAGTGGTGGTGACGTGAAGTCATGTGACCGTGCTGTAGTTCCTTTATAGCCCAACATTAGCCTCCTTTAGCGTAGCGGTGGTGACGTGAAGTCATGTGACCGTGCTGTAGTTCCTTTATAGCCCAACATTAGCTTTTTACTTCAGAAATCATAAAGTGGTGTTAATATGGGGAGATTATCCCGCTGAACTAAACGTGTAAGAATCATAAATGTTTGTTTGACACAGAGATTATTTTCTGCAATAATCCAAAATCAAACAGGAACATATTTGCAGTGGCATATGAAGCAGAAATAAAGCAGAAGCAGCATTTCATAATGTCAGCCAGATGGAGCAGGTCAGGTCACTGAGTGTGAGTGTGTGGGTGGTAAGTGTTAATGAGACATGTGCAGCACTCTGGATAAGTAGCATGTTCAGAAATGTCTCACATGCAGTACCCATCATGTCCATTTTGAAATCATTTCACTTTGTAATGCTTGTATAACAGCAGGGTTTATCTACAGTGTTGCATTGAAAAGAGACAACCATCACAACTTCTTATCACAACAGTATTGACATGCAATTAAAGAAAGAGACTATTACTAATTCAGGAAAGTAAGAAGAGAGACTTAACACACAAGGTAAATCTGTGTCTGTTTTTAAAATAACTAGAAATGTGTGACATTAAATCAGGACTTGTTCTGTTAAACTGATCATAGCAGTTTAGATAACAAACCCACCACTGATCTGCTGTTATCCCCTCAGACTGTAATCTTTATTACTGATGTCTGAACTAACCACAGACACTTGTCTCATTCACGGAGGGATGATTGTTCTCTGCAGCATTTAGTGTCGGTCTGCCACAGATTCAAATACAGTAGGGAAACACTGTAATGAATATTTGGCATTTAAACATTTTTTAAAAGTTTTTTGGGGGTTTCTGTATGCCTGGTGGATGTACAGTTACAGGATCAATTATTTAAGGACTCGCTTTAATCAACATCAGTAAGATCCAGACACTAACATCTACCTTATAGTGGCAAGCATCATCAACACATGACCAAAAACACTGGTTAGAAAACACACAAAAAAACCAATAGAAATATGGTATACAAAAATAAAACGTTAAAAACAAAAATAAAATATTAATAATAATAAATAATTAAATAATGATAATAAATAATAATAACGAAATAATAATTAAATAATAATACAAATAATAATAATGATACAAAATAAAAATAATTATGGAGAGAATTGATCGTCAAAATCATTAAAAAAAATGAAATGAAAGCATAAAGCACCTATAAGACCCAATCTAAATGTGTCTCTGCAGCCACCCCAGCTGGTAGGATGATGGTTAATGCAACACATTATTCATGATGTAATTATAGGAAGTGTAACACTCTATAAAAAGTGACAAGATAGTATCAAGACTGCTGGGTCAACGCAGTGTGAACCTCTGTTGATGTATAAAGAGACGGGAGGCTTACTGTACACACAGCCTTTAATTACTGAGTGTGTGTGTGTGTGTGTGTGTATGTGTGTGTGTGTGTGTGTGTGTGTGTGTGTGTGTGTGTGTGTGTGTGTGTGTGTGTGTGTGTGTGTGTGTGTGTGTGTGTGTGTGTGTGTGTGTGTGTGTGGAGCTGTGAGGAGATTGACAGTTTAGGACAACAGATAGAGAGCATGAGTAATCCTCTTCGTGCCGTTATGCACCATTTGTTGTTTTGAATAGCGAAAAGGTAATAGAAAAAGCAGTCGTTTTTTTCTCAGCCTACACTAGTGCGGGTTTCCAAGCACTCAATACATTGTGCAACCGTTTCTATGGAGACGAGAGCCATGGTATACCTACGAGTGTTGAGAGCGCTGATGCAGTGGGCAGCTCGTACTGCTGGAGGAAAATCACTGGATATAAATATATATATATTTACCGCCCTGAAAACACTGATCTGAGAGAGGGGGAAGCATCCTGTCCTGAAGAGAGACTCTCTACTGTTTATATGATTAATATGATCAGAGGGGGAGAAGTACTCAGGTCTTGTACTTGAGTAAAAGTAGAAGTACTCAGGTCTTGTACTTGAGTAAAAGTAGAAGTACTCAGGTCTTGTACTTGAGTAAAAGTAGAAGTACTCAGGTCTTGTACTTGAGTAAAGTAGAAGTACTCAGGTCTTGTACTTGAGTAAAAGTAGAAGTACTCAGGTCTTGTACTTGAGTAAAAGTAGAAGTACTCAGATCTTGTACTTGAGTAAAAGTAGAAGTACTCAGGTCTTGTACTTGAGTAAAAGTAGAAGTACTCAGATCTTGTACTTGAGTAAAAGTAGAAGTACTCAGGTCTTGTACTTGAGTTAAAGTAGAAGTACTCAGATCTTGTACTTGAGTAAAAGTAGAAGTACTCAGATCTTGTACTTGAGTAAAAGTAGAAGTACTCAGATCTTGTACTTGAGTAAAAGTAGAAGTACTCAGGTCTTGTACTTGAGTAAAAGTAGAAGTACTCAGATCTTGTACTTGAGTTAAAGTAGAAGTACTCAGATCTTGTACTTGAGTAAAAGTAGAAGTACTCAGATCTTGTACTTGAGTAAAAGTAGAAGTACTCAGATCTTGTACTTGAGTAAAAGTAGAAGTACTCAGGTCTTGTACTTGAGTAAAAGTAGAAGTACTCAGATCTTGTACTTGAGTAAAAGTAGAAGTACCAGAGTGTAGGAATACTCTGTTACAGTAAAAGTCCTGCATTCAAAATGTAACTCAAGTAAAAGTAGAAAAGTATTCTCATCAAAATATAGTGAAAGTAGCGACAGAAAAAGTAGTCATTGTGCAGATGTAATATATCTTGTAAATATGTGCAGAAACGTTGTTCAAACTTTGTCTTGTTTTGTAGACTCATTTTTGAAGAATGGTATTGGGTATGATCTGGCGTGCATCGTACTTTATTGTAACTACTTTACCATGAAAGTCAACTTGTGCTTAAATGCTTTCAATGTGATCTGCAGCAGAAAGAAATACTCTGTTTGCATCAGGGAGTTTTTCCTTATTCACTGCGAGGGTCAAAGGAGAACTTTGTGAGCTATAGGATAAATAGTGACTTGAGTTGATTATCTGCATATTTTCTGGGTAAATCCCCACAGACTGAACACAATATATAACACACAAATACATACAAATGTGCCACTTATTCATCCGTGGGTCATGGGCTCAAGCACCATTGTGTTATTTGGAGATTTCCACTTCAGGATGCTTGAACTAAACTGGGGGTTTGAAGACCAACTTGTTCTGAACGGCTGCACTCGGACGTGGGTCAAAGAGCCGCCTTCATCCCTCACTGACCTCCATCTTCTCTGTACATCTTCACTGTCCTCAAGCAATGACTCGTACACATGCAGATAAAGAGGGGGGAACACTTTGGACCATCTCTCCTCACTTTGATTGTGTTGAGCTCAATTGTGCAAATGAGAAGTGACGGGAATAGATGCATGAGAAAATAAGAGAGCAGAGAGTTTGCTAGACAGAGAAAGTTACAGAAATGCTGAACACAGACTTCCCCAAGAGGTTTTAAGACGCTGCTTCCTATTTAAGCACTGAAGCCCCCGGGGTGTCCCTTAGGTGGAACTGGAGGACATTTTTGGGGGAAAGGTGTCCTTCTCCTCAGCCACATCTAAATAGTAAAGATAATTGTAGCATGTTGCTATGTAGAGGAGAGCCTGAACAGCTGAGTGTGAGCTTTTATTCTCCCTGTTTTTTACACATATTAGATCGCTGGTTAGACATTTGTGGTGTGAATTAGTCCCAAAGTGTATTTCCCACCTCAGTATATATTGTCCAGGGGTTTTCCAAATAAAGGTCAAGATGTGTGTGCCAGTAGCGCTCTTCAGGCACTAGCTGAAGGTAAATACTGGCAGCAGGGTATTCAGAGTAATATTCCTCTACACTGAGGTGCGAGTAAACGTTATTTTGGGCTGTGGGAAGTTGAAAATAGACCTCAAAGCAATCCTTATATGGATAAAATATGATTAAATCAAGGAGGGAATAGTCTGCATCTTCACATCTACGAGGATATTGTCCTCCTCATGCATATTATATGTTTCTGTGTTCCCATTGGTGGATCCCAGCAGGGTGTTTACGGCGGATAAATCCAGCATTTCATCTTGAAAAGCATCTGTCTCCCACGCTCTGTCACACCACTGCTCTGTGTATCATTCTCCTGCAGAAAGCTGCAGTGTTGGATCAGCAAACTGGAGAGATTGGGGGGTTTAATCATTTCTAAATAAAAGCAATCTGTGCCGGAGCCATTAAGACCTGCAAACATATGCAGAGAGACGTTTCACCAAAGAGCTGCTGAGGAAACACAGGCTTCATATGATGGCTGTGAAACCAATTAGGGTTAGAAGGAAAGGACACTTAAGGGCCCTCAATGTATGCATGTGTTGTGAATGCATGCATGATTAACTGGATCTTAAAGGGGACCTATCATGCAAAATGCACTTTTGTACGTCTTTTCTACATGAATATGTGTCCCCGGTGTTCCAGGGAACTCACCAAGTGTCAGAAAACACAACCCTCTCTATTTTCCTCCATACCCAAATCTCTAAAAAAGGGGCTGCAACGGATCTGATAAAAACTGATCCAGATTTGAACACTGTCCTGACGTCAGGACGGTGGCGCTACGGCTATTGGGCCAACTCCACCAATCAGGAGGAGACAGCCACGGCCATTGCCGTTCGAAAGCGCTGGAGACGCTGTAGTACATATGCCAGGCCTGTAGATGGTGCTGTTCTCACTGAATCAGCCCTTGCAAAAACAGAGCTAGAAATTGTCAAATTGATCAAAATGAGGCATGGCTAAAATGCATGATCTGTTTGGTATTTTGAAAAGAAAAAAGTATAAATATGCCTTATATAGGTATGGTCCTACACTATATTATTCAAATATAGCATGATAGGTCCACTTTAAGGTAAGAAAGTCAATATATTTCACAATTATATTATTTTTCATTTAATTTCAAACCTTTATTTAACCAGATTGGTCCCATTGAGATCATATATCTCTTTTTCAAGGGAGACCTGCAGCATATAGGTTCCACATGAAATATAAAACAATAAAGGACATCATACATTATATTTACAGGATACATTTATATAGCTATAGACATTTACAAGTACCCATAGTATCAACGAGCATTTCATTTAACCTAGCTTTAAAAACATGCAGAGGAATGAGATTGCTCATGGGATGGGACTGCAGTTTTTTTCGACTTGTATTTATTGACTTAGTTTGTCTATAAACGTTCAAAATCCAAACTTTTGAGTTGTGTTGTTTTTGCATATAGTTTGACATTTTCCTTAAATCCAAAAGCAGTAGAAAAATATAAATAATACTTTCAAGTAAAACTAAATTAAAATAATGGGAATAATAATAAATAACAACAATTAAAATAATAATAAAAAACATTTGATTATAATAAAAATAGTAATAATAATAAATACTGAATAAAATAAATAAATAATAATAATAATAGAATAATAATAAAACAGAGATAAGCTCACATGTCTGTATTTAATTTACATAATTTCCCTTTTATTTCCATGATTTTTGAATGCGAGTGGCATTTAATTAAGTACATGTTGGAGAAGAACAAAGCACCGTGGTTTCTTGTCGTCTCGTGACATTCTGGGCAGACATTAATTGTCAAAGCCCGAAGAAGTTCTTCGTTATAAGTTCTTTATAATAGATACATAAAAACATAATAAATAAAAAAATATAATAATAACAACAATTTTATATATTATTATCATTATAATTTATTTAATAAATAATAAGAAAGAAACAAAGTAATGCATACTGGTCTACTGACATTGGGAAAAGATTGTATTGCCTATTTTAACATTAAGTACATAATTGGTTCTCCATTAAACTTGTACTTATGTATTTCCAACCACACCTACGTTAAAAAAAGCTTTTCATAATTGTAATAATATATGTTTGTGTATTATCGGTCCATGTGTTTATTTTTTATTCTGTACACTGGACTCACTTGAAAAGTATATAACAAATATAACCTTTTTTTGACTTCCTCAACAACCTTGCATGATAATGTTAGTGATGAAAGTGTATCAGAGATTCACGGTTAAATCTGTAATGCTCCCCATCAGTGTGACTCCATCAGTTTCACCGTGTGTCACTGCAGGATCCTTCCCTCCTGACAGACAGGAGGTGAATCTGTTAGAGTGTGTCTAATTCCTCCTGAACAGACGTGTGCATGAAGTGACTCCGGCTGAACGAAAGTGTCTCTCTCCATCAGATGTGACATGTAATGGCTTTCAAACAAGCGTCTTGAATGACCTGCATGGAGCTGTGTTCATGGTGTGAGCTTTGAATGTGCGTCTGGACCATCTAAAACGCATCTCTTATGAATGACTTTGTTCCTGTAAATGATGCAACACTTCTGCTCAAACTGCTTTTGGGCAGAAGGACAGCTCTTTGCCACTTTAGACATCATTTGCTGCTCCGCTGGAAGGGCACTCTTAAAACTGTTTCTCCAGGTTAATGGAATCAAGGACTTACGAGGAGACTAAATATGAAGAGACCGTCCTATTCCTACTTTGAGGCAGAAATATGAGCTTCACTAAAGTACTCTTATCTTCATGGAAATACACATTTTCTTAAATGTTAACGCTCCTTTTTTGAGTATAGGGCTATTGCTCCTCTCCTTCCCTTTTCTTTCCCCCTTCTATCTTCTCTTGTCTCCTTTCCTTTCCTCTCGTCTCGACTCATCTTCTCACCTTGTCTCAGGGTTTCCGCTAGGATTTTTTTCTTGCCTGTCAAATGTCCGGAAATAATTTATTTTACCGGACAAATTCTAAACTTACGGGTCATGTTTCAATAATAATAATAAGAATTGTGTAGCAGAGTTTCCGTTAGCAGGTAATGAGCGGATATACTGATGTTTAAAACTCAGTAAAAGGGGCTCATTTTTATATTGCTTCAGTTTATAATAACAGATCGAAAAGTTCAGATTCATTTTTCAATAAATGATGCGCTCCACAAACAACAAACAACATACTTATTACATTCAAACAAACTACTTATAGTAGATAAAGTACATTATTCAAAAGTTTACATTAACTTTGAATAATAACACATCTTGAAAAATGGCCGCCATCTTGGATTTTTGAGTGGCTAACGTGCTTTTTCAAAAGAGTAACCTCCATGGAGTATATGTGCCAATTTTAGTGCTTGTAACCACTTGTGAAAGATTGCCCTGATAATATTCAATTATCTGCAGCTCTATGACAGCCGGTCGGTTTCTCATGCAGCTCGCTAAACAGTGGGCGGGGCTTCAGGTGATCATGCAGAGCTGCGTGTCTCCGTCAGACTCAGCAGCTGATCTGATCTCTCTCTCGCGTCCGGTTATACTTCACTTGCGTTTATATCCATATCGATCAGATCCAGCTCTCCTGATCGGCCTTTATAGAGAGCACCGATCGAACTATTAAAAGTGAATATCGGCCGATAATGACCGGCGGCCGATCGATCGGAGCATCCCTAATTATTACCGGACATTTTGACCGGCAGGTTTTGAATTTACCGTTTTTTAATAATGTTACCAGCTAAAAAACCGGTAATTACCGGCTAACGGAAACCCTGCCTTGTCTGGTCTTGTGTCGTCTCCCCTTTTCCTCTTCCCTTGTCCCTATACCCTCCCAAAATTGCCTTTCCTTTCCTATTCTTCCTTTCCTTTCACTTCCTCTGAATTCCTTTCCTCTCCTCTCCTCTCCTCTCCTCTCCTCTCCTCTCCTCTCCTCTCCTCTCCTCTCCTCTCCTCTCCTCTCCTCTCCTCTCCTCTCCTCTCCTTTCCTCTCCCTCCTCTACTCCCCTCTCCTCTCCTCTCCTCTCCTCTCCTCTCCTCTCCTTTCCTCTCCTCTCCTCTCCTCTCCTTTCCTCTCCTCATCCTCCTCTCCTCTCCTCTCCTCTCCTCTCTCTCTCTCCTCTCTCTCCTCTCCTCTCTCTCCTCTCTCTCTTGATTGTTGTGTTCTTCCCTCAAGTGATGAGGTAAACATGTTATGCTGAAAGTGCAATAGTTTAATAAAAGGGATTTTAAAAACCAAGAAAACCTCTCGTCTCCTCTCGTCTCTCACCCAGTGGTTTCCTTGTTTCCTCTGCAGGAGTACCATGCTCAGGTGGAGGAGATGACGGTTTCTATCCGTCAGCTGGAGGAGGACCTGTCAGCTGCTCGTCGTCGTAGCGACCTGTACGAGTCTGAGCTGAAAGAGTCTCGTCAGTCCAGCGAGGATCTGAAGAGGAAGGCAGCCGAATACCAGCTGAGGATGCAGAAGGTCTGTAAAGGACCCCGAAGGCATCATGGAAACAGGGATAGTCTGTAGCAGCATCCCAGCAGCTCCATGTGTCACATCAACAGACATATATCAACACAATACATGAACATCAAACATTTAACATAACAGCACAATCAGTGAGAGAGAAGCTGCTCAAAGAGCCGTCAGCGTGCACTTGATCTGGATTCAGCTCTGTGTTTACTGAGAGGACAGACTGAAGCACAGAGGATGCTTCAGTCTGACTTTATTGAATCGAGGGACCCTGTGTTAGATACTAGGTTTAGAAACAGTGATGGTTTCGAGTCGTTCTGGCTTTTATCTGCTTCTGGGGTTTCGAGGAACATCAAGTGTTTACGGCAGTGTTTCTTGGACTACCTATGTTGAAAATGTTTTATCTTTTTAATTTAAACGTGGGGTTTCATTCTTTCATTCGATAACCCTGGGGTGTCATTCGTTAGCCGTGGGGTTTCATTTGTTCATCTTGGGGGGGTTTCAGACTATAGGGTCACTTTCGTTAACTGAGGGGTTCCTTCCATCGTTTCCCAATGACTGTGGGGTCTCTTTGGGAGTTTGACCTTGTCCGATTTAGGGTCTAAGGACAGCGGGGGTCATATTTGTATTCTGAATCAACTGTAAAGCCCCTTGATACAAATGTACAATTGTGATATTGGGCTTTATCAATAGAAGTTGATTGCTTAGTGCTAAAGTGCTAAAGTGCTAAAGCTCCCCTTTAAACATTATGACCTCCATAAATGAGTATTTATAGTATCCTTTAAATGAGTCTGCCTTAAAGGTGGGGTAGGTAATTTTGAGAAACCGGCTCGAGATCGTTAGAATTTGAAAATACACAACTGGAGAAAATCTGCCACTTCCTTACAGAGCCCCTCCTCCAACACACACGAACGCACACATGACCAATGAGGGCACGAGATAAGTGTGTGCACAGATGGAAGGCTGACAGGCAGGTAGGCCATCCAGTTATTTTAGCCGGGCCGGCTCAGATGATTGGTCGTACTTGTTACAGTACCACGGCTTCCACAGATGACATTTTTTTATGGATTTTTTTGTCAAAGCACTTCAGATATTCATTGCTATCGGGATGTTAAGAGCATTCCATGGAATATAACAAAAAGTGTTTCTGAAATAAATTACATACCCCACCTTTAAGCCAGATAACTCAAACATATCCAGGGTCTGTTGAACTGGATTCGTAGTACAGGCCTTAAGATATTCATTGCTATCGGGATGTTAAGAGCATTCCATGGAATATAACAAAAAGTGTATCTCAAGCCGGTTTCTCAAACTTACCTACCCTACCTTTAAGTTTATAAGAGCTTTTAGAAGAAAGTAAAAGTTTTAAGACACATAAAGACTAACCTTAACCCAAGCAGCCTCACACGGGGCACCAACATCCTTTGTGTCCTCAGCAACATGCACACCAAACAGGAAGTAGAACGGTCCTAGAGATATGATGCAGACAGACGTGAAGTTATTATGAAGTGTCTACTTTTCTGTCGCCTTACCATGACCCCCACTAAAGTGTCTCATATCTCCACAGGTCAAAGAGCAAGGCAAAGCAGACGTCGAGGAGCAGGTCGGCAAGTTGGAGAAGGTAGACATTTAAATCCATTATATAAGCTGCAAGATAGGAAGAGATAGAATAATATCTATCTGTTCCATCTATTTTTGCTTATTGATTCATTGTTCAAGTAAAAGTTTTTCATTCAAACATATCAGAAAATGCAGTTTGTAGCTTCTCAAACATGGAGATTTGCTTATTTTCTGTGTTTTTTTAATCGTTAAAATATGTTTTAAGACATCATCTTGAAATTTGAGAAGCTGGGAAGCATATTTTGATACCACTAATTATTACATTACTAATCTAGAAAAGAATGGGCATTTTAATGAATGAAAATAGTTATTAGTTGCATCACTATCCAATCAATTGTTTTAAAATGAATTCATTTGATTCTGTGATTGATGAGGATGTCTAGATAACGACGCTGACGAGTTAAAATATATTTGAACAGAGGATGATAAACTTGAATATGAATCTTCATCATAAGGACTGCTTCTGTTTTTCAGACCAACACTGAGCAGCAGAGCAAGATCCAGGAGCTCCAAGAGAAACATACCAAGGTATTTTCTCTGGGAACATTCATGAATAATTCATACGAGCTGATGCTCCCAAATGCATGAGCTGTAACTGCATTTTAACCTTCCAGATGTCTGCCTCTTTACCCTCCCTGACCCCATTCATAAATCATGGGCTCTGTTTTATTAACTCAAAAGTTACTGCCTCATTATCAGCAACCAAACTCGAGTGCCTCATGAGTTCAGATGACTTTGTCCTCATTGTCTTTTCTCTAAAAATGAATATTTAAAATAACATTATTTAAAACTTTCTGCAGAGAGAAAATGACGTTGTGGTGCTGAGAATAATTATAATAAATAATAATACATTTTATTTAGAGGCGCCTTTCAAGGACAAGGATCAAATATACTGGTTATAGTAAATAATATAACTACAAGTAATAAAAAGACAATATCACATACAAGAAAGACAAAGAGCGTATATGCAGCCAACCTTTCTGCAAGTGTTGGGGTTTAAAAAAAAAAAAAAAAATTAAAATGTGAAATCAAATCTAAGTGAAAAACACACACAGAAACACACACGCACACACACACACACACACACACACACACACACACCACACACACGCACACACGCCACAACACACACACACAACACACGCAACGCAACCGCACACACACACATACCACACACACACACACACGCACAGCAACCCACACACACCTACCACACCTCATAGCATTACACACAACAAAAAAACACAACCAACAAATCACACACACCACAACACAGCACACACGCACACAACTCACACCAAACCCAACACGACGCACGCACACACAACAACACACCTACACACACTCCATTCAATTACACCAGCGCACACGACACACACATTGCACACACAACACACACCAACACATCACCACACACAACACACACTCACACGCACACCAACACACACACACACCACACACACCACTCACTACACACATCACCACAAACTACGAACAACACACACTCTCCTCACAAAAACACTCACACAGACACAGAAGAACACACACACTCAAACACACACACACACACACACACACACACACACACACACACACACATACACTCACTCACAAGTGACTAAAAAATGATTAAATGTCAAGTCTAAAACAAACAGGGAGCCAATAGAAAGAAGGTATGAGTTTAAAACCAGTCTGACGTTATTTTGGAGATTTAAGTTTGTTATTAATATCATTACATTTATAGTTGTATTAATTACTATTACTTTATTTGAATTGGTATTTAATTGTTAATTGTTGTTTCCATGGGTCTTTCATTGTGGAACATTAATAAATAATAAAACAAATATCAAAAATAGAGGAATAGCTTTAGAGATAAAGGATAAGATGAGATAGGACTTTATTTATCCCGAAGAAAACTGTTGTGCCAGAGTTACAACAATACAATAAACACAGCAGCATGATAATCAAACTGTACACTAACAGTGCAGAAAAAAGAGTAATTCAATAACTACAGGAAACATAGACGGTCACATCATTAATGTAAATATTAACAGTATTCAGTAGTGTAAAAAACGTAATGGCAGATTATTATATCTGCCATTATAGAACAGTGTTAATGATAATAATATTGCACATGTTATATAGCAGAGATTAGATTTTTTGATTTGATTAGATTTATTTCGGATGTGTAAAACAATAATACAAACATTTAACATGAGAATTATTATACAATACAAAATTAATCAGTGTCAAATTGATATACAAAATATTACTGATTGTATACTGATGTATAAATAAATAATGTATAAATAAATAATCTACTTATCTACTTAAAGTTCAGACTTATTTAATCCCACCCCTTCTCCCAAAAACTAAATTACTAACATATATATATATTTTTTTTTTTTATAGAGAGTGTTTTGTAATGATTGTAATGGTATTTATATTGCACATAGTGGTGGTGTGGAAGTTCTCAGTTCTATTAAGAACTATTTTAAGCGTCTTTGAGCACTGGGAAAGGCGCTATAAAAATTCAATGTATTATTATTATTATTATTAAAGGTCTCCTATTATGCAAAATCCACTTCTTCATGTCTCTTCTACATCAACATGTGTCCCCTCTTCTTCATGTCTCTTCTACATCAACATGTGTCCCCTCTTCGTCATGTCTCTTCTACATCAACATGTGTCCCCTCTTCTTCATGTCTCTTCTACATCAACATTGTCCCCTCTTCTTCATGTCTCTTCTACATCAACATGTGTCCCCTCTTCTTCATGTCTCTTCTACATCAACATGTGTCCCCTCTTCTTCATGTCTCTTCTACATCAACATGTGTCCCCTCTTCTTCATGTCTCTCTACATCACATGTGTCCCCTCTTCTTCATGTCTCTTCTACATCAACATGTGTCCCCTCTTCTTCATGTCTCTTCTACATCAACATGTGTCCACTCTTCTTCATGTCTCTTCTTCATCAACATGTGTCCCCTCTTCTTCATGTCTCTTCTACATCAACATGTGTCCCCTCTTCTTCATGTCTCTTCTACATCAACATGTGTCCCCTCTTCTTCATGTCTCTTCTACATCAACATGTGTCCCCTCTTCTTCATGTCTCTTCTACATCAACATGTGTCCCCTCTTCTTCATGTCTTTCTACATCAACATGTGTCCCCCTTCTTCATGTCTCTTCTACATCACATGTGTCCCATCTTCTTCATGTCTCTTCTACATCAACATGTGTCCACTCTTCTTCAGTCTCTTCTTCATCAACATTGTCCCCTCTTCTTCATGTCTTCTACATCAACATGTGTCCCCTCTTCTTCATGTCTCTTCTACATCAACATGTGTCCCCTCTTCTTCATGTCTCTTCTACATCAACATGTGTCCCCTCTTCTTCATGTCTCTTCTACATCAACATGTGTCCCCTCTTCTTCATGTCTCTTCTACATCAACATGTGTCCCCTCTTCTTCATGTCTCTTCTTACATCAACATGTGTCCCCTCTTCTTCATGTCTCTTCTTCATCAACATGTGTCCCCTCTTCTTCATGTCTCTTCTACATCAACATGTGTCCCCTCTTCTTCATGTCTCTTTTCCTCAACATGTGTCCCCTCTTCTTCATGTCTCTTCTACATCAACATGTGTCCCCTCTTCTTCATGTCTCTTCTACATCAACATGTGTCCCCTCTTCTTTGTCTCTTCTACATCAACATGTGTCCCCTCTTCTTCATGTCTCTTCTACATCAACATGTGTCCCCTCTTCTTCATGTCTCTTCTTCATCAACATGTGTCCCCTCTTCTTCATGTCTCTTTACATCAACATGTGTCCCCTCTTCTTCATGTCTCTTCTACATCAACATGTGTCCCCTCTTCTTCATGTCTCTTCTACATCAACATGTGTCCCCTCTTCTTCATGTCTCTTCTACATCAACATGTGTCCCCTCTTCTTCATGTCTCTTCTACATCAACATGTGCCCCTTCTTCATGTCTTTCTTCATCAACATGTGTCCCCTCTTCTTCATGTCTCTTCTCATCAACATGTGTCCCCTCTTCTTCATGTCTCTTCTACATCAACATGTGTCCCCTCTCTTCATGTCTCTTCTCATCAACATGTGTCCCCTCTTCTTCATGTCTCTTCTACATCAACATGTGTCCCCTCTTCTTCATGTCTCTTCTACATCAACATGTGTCCCCTCTTCTTCATGTCTCTTCTACATCAACATGTGTCCCCTCTTCTTCATGTCTCTTCTTCATCAACATGTGTCCCCTCTTCTTCATGTCTCTTCTACATCAACATGTGTCCCCTCTTCTTCATGTCTCTTCTACATCAACATGTGTCCCCTCTTCTTCATGCCTCTTCTACATCACATGTGTCCCCTCTTCTTCATGTCTCTTCTACATCAACATGTGTCCCCTCTTCTTCATGTCTCTTCTACATCAACATGTGTCCCCTCTTCTTCATGTCTCTTCTACATCAACATGTGTCCCCTCTCTTCATGTCTCTTCTACATCAACATGTGTCCCCTCTTCTTCATGTCTCTTCTCATCAACATGTGTCCCCTCTTCTTCATGTCTCTTCTACATCAACATGTGTCCCCTCTTCTTCATGTCTCTTCTACATCAACATGTGTCCCCTCTTCTTCATGTCTCTTCTCATCAACATGTGTCCCCTCTTCTTCATGTCTCTTCTACATCAACATGTGTCCCCTCTTCTTCATGTCTCTTCTACATCAACATGTGTCCCCTCTTCTTCATGTCTCTTCTCATCAACATGTGTCCCCTCTTCTTCATGTCTCTTCTACATCAACATGTGTCCCCTCTCTTTTCTCTTCTACATCAACATGTGTCCCCCTTCTTCATGTCTCTTCTACATCAACATGTGTCCCCTCTTCTTCATGTCTCTTCTACATCAACATGTGTCCCCTCTTCTTCATGTCTCTTCTACATCAACATGTGTCCCTCTTCTTCATGTCTCTTCTTCATCAACATGTGTCCCCTCTTCTTCATGTCTCTTCTTCATCAACATGTGTCCCCTCTGTGAAAGAGACTCTGAAAGTTTCAGGAACAAAGATTCTCTCTCTTTTGTCCTGATCCATTTTATAAAAACCTGTCTGAAAATGAGCTGATCAGATTTTGGCCACTTATGATGTCATAACGATGTTTTGTCTTGTGTAACCATTAGCCAATCAGCAACCAAGGTAACCCCCCCCCCCCACCTTATCACCTGAATCTCCTCCTAGAGCACCATTGAGTTCTTTGTAACCAAATCTCTCTCATACCCCTTTCACACCAAGGCTTTTCCCCTTCTAGCTCCGTGCTAGAGCTTTTCTGGTTCAGAACCGGTTCTTCGGTTTAGCGCCGGCTCTTTTCACCACCGCTCAGAGCCCGACTGGTGCTGCCGCTGCTGCGTCATGACGTCACAGTT